CCAGTAACTCTGGCGTATTAAAAATGGGGTAACAGCTGGTCTTGTGCAACTTGGGGTATGTTGCTCTACTTCTAGAAGTATTTTTCACAAGTTATCCAAAACTGTATGTGTGTGTAATTTTAACTACCAGTGGTTCTCCATACAAGTCAAACCTGTAAAAGCAGCAAAAATTGGTCAGAAACCCTAGGAATTCTTAATATTCTGAGTTAAAGCTTTTAAAGTACATCAAAGAAATTGTTGACCTTTTGTAAAGCAGTTGTCCCTGCTTAAGATAGTTAACAGTAGTGAATCCAAAACCAAAATTGAACTTACAACTATTTATATCACAAGTTACAATGTATAACGTACTAAATGGAAAGCAGTTGATTTTTTCTATAACAATTTATTGGATAAAAAGACTCATTGAACTCTTAACTGAGATCTCTTCATATCAGCTGTTGAGAATGCATAAAATTGAAATAAATTAGTATCTTCTTTTAAAAGATTACTATTAATAGGATGTACACAAGGGAGATTCTGTTTTGGAACAAGGGTGGAAGTTGAGTATGCTCTGGGTGCCCGCAGGAACATTCTAGAACATCCCCGCTTTTAGCAAAAAAGGCTTTTCTTAAAAGGAAATAAAGCCACATTCTTTTTCAGTAGCCCATAGTTTTAACTGTGCTTTAGTCCTTGCTCTTGAATCTCCCAGGTGTTGACTGTGCTGCAAGCCTCTGTTGAATGTTGTTCTAGTCCAGGAATTTCTTTCAGCAATTCCTATATTGTTAAGGACAGCTGGGGTTGTGGTTTTATTTAATGCCATTTGTTTCACAGTATGTAAAGTTGCCCCTGCTGTAGAAACATTAATCTAGACTGTTTTCCTAGTTCTTTGTCTTTCACCTCACAGGGCTACATTTGGGCTCTGTATTTGAAAAAAAAAAAAAAAACAAAAAAAACAAAAAACAATTCTTCACCCAGGGGAAAAAAAAAGTCAACCTGACAGGAGCCAAGATAGAGATCTGTAAAGCGAGTGGCATGGAGAGGGTAGCAAAGGAATAAATTCTTCAGCCTTCCTATTTTGATGTAAGAACTCAAGGGAATCACGAAGTGGTAAGTAGCAGGTTTGAAACAAGTCAAGGTATCTGTTCAGCTCACTGTAGAACTCCTTGCTGCAGGATGTTGTGTGTAAAACTACATCAATTCAAAAGGTGACTGAAAAATTCCTGAAAGGTAAAAAATAAAAAGGTCCCTATTCTCTCTGAAAGTCACGGAACCAGAAACTGTTGGAGACTGTGAAAGCTGCTCTGACTGACTGCATGGTTATCCTGTTTGTTAGACTGTTGTAAATCATCTCTTTGTAAAAAGCTGTCAGGAAGAGTAACTCTGGCAAGCTTTTTGTATGCTCCTATTTTATATAAATGTGCACACACTGTTCAGTTTTCATTTTACCAGAATGTATTTTACATACTCCTCCTCTTATTGAAAGAATTGCAAATCAAATGTAAGGTGTGGATGCATTTTTCTGACAAAAAAGTACGCTTATTTATTCAGTAACAGGGCTTCAGTTAGGAGCCTGTGTCTGAACTGTAAAAGTCCCCCACCTGTGTGTGACACCAGAAATGCCCTGCAGCTGTTAGAAAGAACAGAGATAAGAAGGCAAGCCATGCTGATCATGAACCTCGGCAAAAGATTGTTTATATTTTCTGATTCTTATGTTGTTTGGAGAGGAAATAACTTTTCTCATGTTTACAAGCAGGAAGAAACTATCCTCTGTACAAAAAAAATTGTTTTGTGCTGATAATTGTCAGAACAGTTTATTTACATACCAGGTCAACTGCAATAAACTGCTGCTTAACTTCTGTGTTTCCGGTCTGTAAAATACTATTTTCTTTTTGTGAAGCCAAGATCTTTTCTCTGTTTGCGATAGGAAGCTTCTCACCATTAAAAGCACTTGCTGCATCAGCTGTCGGTTTCTCTGTTATGTTTGCCAGATGCTGACATTAAACGGGTTAGGTCCATGTGTACCTTTCCTCAAGCTGGAATTACTTCTTGCAGTCTTGTCTGTACACCCACACAGCTCACAAGGCAAAGCTCGTTAGGCTTACAGCCATCCATTAAAAGCTGATGAGGTTTTCCTTGTTCTTAGTATATTAATCTTTTGAAGGTAAGGCATGCAGGTTGCTGTCTTGGCAATTCCCTGACTGCTTAATTTAGAGAATAGTGTTACTTAAGATTTAGGCTTCTCAAAGCCAAATTCCTGTACCAGAATTTCGACAACTGGTATGAATTAAAGAAGTGAACATTCCTGAATTCAGGTAAGTGTAACTCAAAAGAGACAAAGCGGGGGGGTTAGAGGAGCTGGTCTGGTGATGTGTTCTGATCTGCTTAAACAGATTGAGTTTGGCAACATCCGAGAGAATTACAGTCTTAGAAGGAAAGCAGTAAAATCACCGTGGCTGACTTGTTTCAAGCTGTGCTAAGCCAAACATCAGAAAAAACCTTGGTGACTAAGGAAAGTCATCAGAAAGTTTATCCTGTGCTTACAGTATCCCCTTGCATCTGTGACGTGCTGTCACCATGTGCTGCTTTTGGTCCCTGAAAGGTCCTCTTTAGATCTCCCTTTTTAATTGTAGAACCACCATTTTCTGATTTGAGAGATGTATAAATTTGAGCTCTGCCTTCAAGGTGCTAATGAGTATTCTATTTTTCTACTTTTGAAAGAAGAAATACAACTTTGCTTCAGTACACCTCACAGCAGAGATGGGAGAGCACCCAACTTTCTCTTTGGACGCACTCAGTTGCCTGCATTCTTGGACGACAGGAAAAATGAGAATCGCTTACCAAAATATAGCGGTGTGGATAAAGAAACAGTTTAATTTTATCCTTTTTCTTATTTTTTACAATATAATTCAAAGACAGTCTCTATTTCCCTATTATGTAGAGTCTAAATTAAACCTGTTAATATTTATTAGACAGATCAATGGTTTGCTTAGGCTAACTGAAGTTTTACGGTACCATTCAGGCACATGTGTGTACACAGTACTCATGTAAACAATAGCAAGGGAAAATACAAGCAGTGTTTCACTTAGGCCTTATATAAAATCAGCTTAGTATAGCAAGTCAACTTTACAGTGCAAATCTGAATGAGAATAAACAAGATTAAAACTTCCCGAGTTTTGTTTTGACGTGAAACTCTTAAAGCAAAAGAGGTTTGAAATTTTAATGCAGTCCTGAGCACCACATCGTGTTCTTCAATTTTGCAGAGGGAACGCAATTAGCAACCCCAGGTACATGGTTTCGCCTGTCTCAGTCACCATGGCCAATACAAGCATGCCGAGTGACTGTACAAAGAACCGCACCATGGATGGTCCAACAGCAGACAGACCGTAACAAAACTAAATGCGTTTCACTACCTCCAGAATGCAGTCGTCCTACCTGCAGAACAAACTTCAAGATATCTACCAAAAAATCGAGTAACCTGGTCTATACAAGGCAAGATATAGCTAAGTGTATAGACAGTAACTAAAGCTACTTTCACTTGGACAACATCTCATGCAATTACCCTGCTGACAGTGAAATACAATGATAAACGTGAGACAAAGAGCTCCTGAAGAATACAGCTGTTGAAGTACTTAAGCTTAGTCTCTCTACTTTCTCATTGTTTAATTTCCCTTTACATCCAGGTGGTATAGTTGCTTGAGGTGTGCTTGATTCATATAAAGAAAAATAGAATTTAAGGCATGTTTAGTATATTATGAAAAAGGACTTATTAAAAATAGGTGGACTCCCTTCTTTCTGAGTCAGTATAACTTGGAAAACAAAGTGTAGATTCCAGCCCATTCTGACCAGCTTAAGGAAATAAAGAGGGCCCCTGGCACCCTTGCAGAGAAACAGCCAGCTAGCTTCTTAAACAGCTAAGCAAAATTCATTTAACGCAAGAACACTGCTAGTGCTTTTAGACCCTGCATTCGTGTACGCTTAGCAGTACATCTGCTATATTCATCTCTCAAACATTTAATTCTATCATTCTAGACATAACACAATTAAGCAGCACTCATGGAAATTGTCAGTTATTGCAAATCTGCAAATGCAACTTGAGATAAACATCTGATAGGGAACAGAAGCATGAATCCAAATCTTTGTCAAAGAATGTAATTCAGGTGAATGAAGAAAAACAAATTATAGTATGTTGAAAACATGGTTAATTCTTGCCAAGAATCAGGTTCGTGGTTTCAAGTACTTAGAATGTTTTTACTAGGAATACAAGCAAAGACTGTGCTAGCATGTTATGTAGTGTAACGTGAATATTTGTGAGGTATAATCTGTAAGCAGTTGCCATAAAATATGTGCAGGTATAAGCCATTGGCTTTTCTGCCACAGTTAGTCTTTAGGGAAGTTGTGGACTGGAGAACAGCAGAAGTCTGCCTTAACAGGACAGAACCTGTCCCCTGCTGTGCACAAACCTCCACTGTTAACAAAAAAAAAAAGTCCAGAAAGTATAGTAGGTGTGTATCAAGAATATATATGTTCAATAGCATAGTGAAATTAGCCTTTTGGTATTACTAATACTATAGATCCTATTAGTATTTGGATATACACATACAGGAATATGCACATCCAAAAGTAAATCTTTGAAGCCATCTTAAAAAAATAAAAGCTAAATTAGGAATAAGCTACATTACAAGAAGCTTCCTGCAGAATTATGTATTTAAGGTGATAATCTTTGAACTATGACTTAATATAGCTACTGCATTAAAAAATGGCTTGCTGTGAAATCTTAATCTCACTTTTTTCCCACCCAATCAGACACATCTTCAGGATTGTGATTCAATGATTGTTTAGCAGCAGTTTTAGAGAACTGTAAATTCTTTTATTAACAGGCATTATAAACAGATACTACTACTTTTATTTAAAAACCATGAGTGCCACATTGATGAATATACAGCTCATGAATAACTTAAAGTATTTCCCATATTAAAAGGCAATGCACACAGCATACAAAAAGTATACTAAACAAAGCTATGAGGATACGTGATTGAAGTGTCTAAAATGATATATACAGTACATAATTAATGTTCTGTTTATCATCAGTACAGGCTTCTGTACTGCCATTCCCATCATGCCTCGCTCTCCCCTGACACTGAATTCTGCACTTCTTCTTCCAAAATCGGTACAATCAGGTTATCCTTGGACATCAGATTATATTTCATCACAAATTTGGTGAACCGGTGACACAAGAAAGTTTCATTCTGGAGATGAAAAAAGGGGAAAAATATATGCAGAAGGAATTTTTTAAACAATTGAGGAGAAGATACTAAAAAAACCCAAACAACCTGCTTATATGTAATTGTCTCATTAGATTTACAAGTCCTAGAAAGAAGTAGCAATGCTTAAATGGTAAAGTTATATTACTTTTACATCTTTACTGCTTGCTTATAGTTACTGCGAAAAAACCCTACTAAAGTTCAGGCTTAAGTCACAGCTCAATTGCACAGCACTTGGACAAGAGAGATAGATAGATAGATATATAAAAAAATACTGAAATATCAATGTGGTCCTGATCCACTCTCCAAAAGACAGTTTAAAGGTACTGTGAAACTCCTATATAAGCTGTCCCCAGCAGAGTGGGGCACAACCACTCCATAGCTGTTCCAGCAACTCTTAAGTGGGATTTGGCAAAGGTTTCCTTTTATACCCAGCTTCTACCTCTTATCTCCTTTCTATCTATTAATTTCTACTTTTCCATTAAAAAAAAAAAAAAAAAAAAAAGACAGTTACTGGAGGTGCACAAGCTGCCACCAGTTACTGGGTTTTTTTGCATTTTTACAATTCCTTAACTGTTGGGTAACATATACAAACAGGAAACATATACATAAGTAGTTCTAACTATACCAAGTGCTTGAATACATTCAGGAATCTTTAAAACAAGATGAGTTAAGGGGTTTTGTACAAAAACTCTCAAATTCTGACCTTTTGTCCAAATGAAGGGAAACCATAACTAGGTAAGCTGATTATATAATTAATTTTCATTTATATATGTGTGTGTATATAAGAGCATTTCAGTTCTTAGAAAACTGTTAATTTACTATAATCAATACTTCACCTGAATGCAGGTGAGTGTACCTGATCTTCTGGCAGGATTAAAAGCAAACATATAACACAAATCACATCACAGCTATAACTTCAGTAAATGCCCTTCTTTCAAGATGTAATTTGAAGCTACTTACTTCATATTCATCAAATATCTGCCGGTGATGAAAATAAGCATGTGAAAATATTCTGTAAATCCTTCGGCACACTGATCCTAATTTGGCTACAGACGATTCCTTTATGCTAACCCTGTAACCACCAGCAGAAAGGTTAAAAGAGGTCTCCCGAAATGACTCCCGAGATACATGTTGACAGGAATTCTGGTTGTTGAAGTATACTATATAATTACAGATGAAATTTAGATCTAAGTGTTGCAGGCATCTGGGTCTGCAATTGCTTTTTTTTTTTTCGCAAGGAAGATACAAATGTCAGTACAAACATTTAAAAATTGTACTCAGATGACACAACCAGTTTTGCCTGCAGTTAAACACCATCAGTTGTTCTGGCAAGGGCTGGATTTCTGGTTTCTAGCATTGATGAGCAAAGGGAAGAAAGAGTTTGTGTTGTGCCGCCTTGCCAATACCAGATTCCTAGAGAAGCACAATTTTGACTTCTCCAGTTAGGTTTCCGTGATCCAACATGCGGGCTGCCCATTCAGTACGCTCAGTTTCTGTCTTCTGTGGTCACTGATGTCCCACAGTAGAGTGGTGTTGGCGTCTGGAGGCTTTCAGTGGCGTAGTGTTTTAAGTCCTTTAAAGAGTCACTGCATCTCTTTAAAGGCCATCCTGTTATTTAGGTTGGTGCTACTCCAGTGGGAGCCCCATAACACCAACAGATATTAGTAAAACAGTTTCCACCCAAAAAGCACCCATCAGCTCTGGTAAATGGCGAACCATTTGCACAGGCAGGAATTCTTCCTTGGCTTAGAAGCGACAACAGCTCTACCAACAAGTGACACGTGCCACAGGAGTTCTGATATTTTCAGTAGTAGTCCATGAAATACGCGTTACACATTTCCACCTGTGTTGTAAATGTTTAGGTGCCACCTACTCCCTCCCTCTCTCTCTCCTCCCAAAAAAAAAAAAAAAAAAAGCATTTTTACCTGCTGGGGAAATATTTATTGCTATTCAGAAGACATGCAGCTCCATCAAGCGTGTGTCTAGTGTAGTCTATAGCAGGACACTACAAAAATAGATAATGGGTGAGCACACGGATGAGTGCTTGCATGACATTGTCAAATAACTCATTTAAAGAAAAACATTTTCATTATGTTTCCTGATGCTTTTAACTTCACTGGTCATTTTTATTCCCAGAAGTTTCACCTGGCTTCTCTGAAGGTCTACCTGCGTTTCCTCCTTAAGTGAGCCATTTCTCGTCTGTTTCACAACCCATGTAAATTGTTTCAAGAAAAAAGTCACTGTGGAAACGTGATTATGCACATGAATAGTGAATTTTATGCATCTCCTTAAGTAAAGCTGTAATACAAGAATATATACTGGAAGTACACTGAAAGGAAAGACGATCATTACCTCATAGTTCATTTGTTTCCCGCATAGTCAAGTTGCCAGACTCTTTCTTTACCAGCCTAAATTAACACCATATAAAAAAAACCAAACAAACAAACAAAGAAACCCCCACAAACCAAACAAACCTGCACCTAAGTATTTCAATGCTTTTTCCTTGGCAAAGAAAACCAAAAATAATTAGTGTAGCTAAGTCTGTAACAAGCTAAGCCCTGGCTCTGCCATAAAGTATATGTAGAGGAGAAGGAAAAAAAAGAAAGATGAAGTGACACAAAAAAAAGACTTCTCAGTTACAAGTTTTTGTCAGCAGTTCACGGTTGTATCACCTACTATCTGACCATTAGTTGATAACTATTATTGACATGGAAAATAGTAGATGAATGATGCATGTTCAGAGATGAAAAGCAGGCTGAAGTTCTCTAGTCTAGCTGAATAAAACAGATATACTGCATGCCAATATACTGAGTGGTGATGAGGGTTAGAGGGAGTGGGAAAGTAGTTGGCCTTCAGAGGTGAATCAAGGCATCTCAGAAAATTAAAAAAAAATAAATTAAAAAAGCTTACAGGACAAAAAGGATAAGGTTAAGAAGAACCAGTACCTTATTCTGGAAAGTGAAATACAAAGATAAATCTGACAGACCACTGTGGCCACAACCAGTAACAACAGAGGAAAAACCTTCTGAAGGCAAAAAAAACCCCAAAGGTATCAAGTGGTTCAACAGGGGATCTCAAAAGAAAGTTTAAAGTAATTGCATGTGCATGTAGACAAGCTACTGCCAAGCTGATAACGCACTTGACGTGAACTATTTTTATGACTCCACTAACTTTTAGGAGTAACTTTCCTAAGAATGTGTGCAAACGGTCACTTTCAGAGCATCAGGCTTATGTGCTATGGATCGAGGCCAAAGTTTGAAGAGGACAGCCTCTTCTCAGCATGTACTTGTCTTTCAATTGCACAAAGACCTTTTTCCATTGAATTTCAGGCCGTCTCAACACAAATTAAGAGAGAAAAGAGGGGAATGTGCAAAGTCTCTAACAGTGGTAAAAAGCAGCTCCTTCCTACCTCGTCCTGTTCTTTTGTAAACCACTACAGAATGGGAAAGAAGGAAGCCCCAAGTGATATTCTTAACCTATGTAAGCTCTCAGTTTAACTAAGCAGCCAGCTATAACTGTCTCCCCATGAACATATGAACTGTGAAAGAAAATCCTACAGCAAGCTTTCCAAAATACATCCGTACCTCTTTGGGAGTTTTATGAGCTGCACAAAGAAAAATCCATTGTTCGGTTGCTGTCATCTGAGTACACGTGTCTGGGTGACATTCACTCTGTTAAAAAAATTGTTCAGTTATGAAAACAACCCAACAGCAAAAATGAGCCGATCTTTTCAAACCACTTTTCTTGCCCTGTCCCCCACCAAAAAGGGTTATTTGCCCGAAGCCTTTAAAACCCTAAAAAAATTCTTGCCTCAAACTACGGCTTAAGTCTGTGTGTATAGATTTAGAAGAAAGCTCTGCCAACTCTGCATCTTACAATACCAAAAAAGTCTCCTCCCTGATACAACAAGAAATATCAAGAATTACCTGAAGCTTGACAGCAAGTCCATTGAGCTCAAGGCAGAATTGTCTAAAAAAATTTGAACACAGCAGCATCAAAATCAATGATATGTTTTCCCCACTAGAAACATCTAACACAAAACAAGGTTATACATTCTGATCGTGACTGATCTCTCAATACTTTTGGAAATTATTCTTGTAAAGTGGAAAAAATACATTAGAGCATGAAAAATACCATACTTAAAGAATACCACCGAATAATTTCAGCTGATGTCACACCTAAAAGGCAACAGGCTAGTAATTAACACTTTATAAAAAGCCTACAGGTTGAGAGAAACAGAATTCACACCAGCATATTTTTTTTTTACTCAGCAAAACAATTTAATTTTTTAATTCTTAACTGACAGTAGAGGCTGAGCTTAACAAATAATTTAGTGGAAGCATTTAAGATGATACCAACTTTGTTATGGAAGAAAGTGCTATTTCACAAATACAGATTAAAAACAAAAAAAAAAGAACACTTCAAGAAAATTAATTTCTTAAGAGTGTGAGTTTTAAATTCATGTAACTGGATCATTCCATCCTTCTAAGATATACTTCCTCCTGATCAATCAAGTGGCTAGATCATTAATGGAGTGGGACTTCTAGAAATACTGCTTTCACTAGAAGTGCATTCTTTAACTTAATTCACCCCTTCATCCTACAAGAAAAATCTGAATAGATTTTCCAAAAGTGACAAGTATTTAGCGACAAGTCACTTCTATGAATCTACAATGACTGTCTGTGTATGTGAAAGGACAGAGGAAATTCTTAAAATGTGTCTTTTCCAATTGTATGTGTACGCTTTTTCCTCTTTTGAGGATTCCCTACATCTGTGGGAACTATTCCAGACCAGAGGAGGAAAAAAGAAAACAAGAGGCAAAAAGCCAGGATATATAAATCTAGAAGACATGCTTACAAGAAAAAAAAAAAAAACAAAAACAGGACACAAGGATACTGAAGTAATGCCAGGAAAAAAGGATTAATACGTATATATTAATGGGGTGTAAACCTACACTACAACTGAAAGACCCAGGTTGAACTTATTTTTTATACTGCATAAAACAAACTGAGAGAAGGACAAAAAGGTTTGCATTTCCTTACAACTAGAAAAAGAACTGTAAGGCATAGGTACTCTTGCTTTCCCAGCTAAAGCCTATTTTCCTGCAAGCTCCAAAAAGAGCACTGGGACCATGTGGAAATCGCATTCCCAATCAGTGGAGCTGAAGAACTGATAATACTAGGAGGAAGGGCTATGGAAATTCATGACTGTATTTTCATATTCAAAACATGTTAGCACAACTTGTGAAATGAGGTACAACATTCTCTTAAAAAACATCAAAAACAGTAGGTCAGAGCACATCATAAACCTTTAGGAAGAACAAGGAATTCAGAACATAGCACCAAAGTATAAAAATATTTAATAGTAGAAGTACTGAGTTTCATTTAAAGTTACTTTTGGTCGGTCCTATTCAAAAAGACTCACTACTACTATCAATGAATAAAACTTAGAATCGGGACACTATGTTGACAAAAGATGGATTCTTACCTTAAATGTTCATACTTCCATACACCTTCATCCTGGCCTTCAGGAGGTTCAAGGATCTTATCAATGTTGGAACAGTCTGCCCTTATGTTTTGCTGAATATACTAGGAGAGGGAGGGGGAAAAAACTCTAGATCTTGTTGTAATTATAGTAAGACAGTATATGTAGGACATTACATCTTTGAGGGACTTTTTCTCTTTAATAAAAAGAAGTGACTGATGGACTAAAAAGTTAAAAGAATAGATGGGCAGGGTAAGAAAATTGGTATAAAAAATGCCAGATGTGAAAAATGCTTTTCCTCAATTAGAAAAGGTAAAAGAATGGGTACATTTTACAGCTTTTTTTACAACATCTTTCTCAACAGAAAAGAACCCCACAAGAAACCCCACCGTTTTCTTAAATCTCATTTGTTTAAACCAGACATGGGAATTCCAGTTATTTCTGCATACACAATTAATAATTACAATTTTTTTTATATACGTAGGGTGCCTACGAAATTCGTTCCTGTGCAGCAACATTCTAAGCCGATAAGCAGCATGCCCCGTTCCCTGTTTTTTTACCAAAATACAAAGCCTGGGAAACTGAACTTGTTAGCAACATTTCGCATAAGTAAGAATACCTGCTGACCGGCTAACGTACTATCCATTTCTTCAAAGGATTCATCAGGCCAATTGTAGAAATCCTGTTAAAAAAAAAAAAAAACTTAAAGGGGAGGAAGAAAAGCGGACAACCTACAATAAGCTTGAACATGCAGGAAAATAGATGTAGAGGTAGTTTACACAATTCCAGGAAGCTACATCTTGACAGAAGCAGCACACAATCTTGGCAAGAACAGGGTGAAATGGGACTTAGGCTCCTAATGTCACAATAGTAGAACATCTTGAAACAAAACTTCTGTGTGACTCGGCATACTATAAACATCATCTCTCCCCCACGTCCTGCTGCAACACCTATACAGCCTGTATTTTTAAAATTAACTCCTTGCATACAGCACCCATTTTACATGTTAGACCATGTAAGGGGGGGGGGGGGAAGAGGTCTGTAGAGAATACAATTATTGTTAAACTAAAAGTCCCCAGTATATTCTAGTAATAACACACCACGGAAAACATCCTCTCTAAACCGAGATAACAACCCAGTGTTGGCCTAACTTGGTGCTACATTCTCCTGGTATGGTCAGTATGCTGCATAACTGGATGGTTATCAGCTCTGCTAACCCTTGGTATTTAGTATCGTTAATGATAAAACCCTCCTCAAGTTTCACCTGAGATCCAGCTGTACCGCAGTGTTCTGCAGCAATTCCCAGCTGGTGCAACTACGACAGTCCCAGACATAGGCGTTTTCTTACTTTGCATTTTTCACATCTAAAATCTAGTGCTACTCCCTCTTAATATCCAGAGATACTGCACATCAGCCTCCCATAGCCATCCTAGTAGACACAATGACTCAGTGAAAATGTTCCAAAACTGTAAAGCTTAGCAATCTGTTCTGGAGAGAATACAGGCATCTCCAGAGAAAGCAGTGAATATGGAGTGTTGAAATATCATTAAGTAATTATATTTACATACAGAATAGCTACACCACAGCGTCAGCCAACATTAAAACTTAAATACAGCCACAACTGCATCACTATACACACAAAATTCTTCAATCTACATGAACTTTATAATACACTTTATAACATTTGACCAACTCTAGGTCTATGTCCAGCTTACCGTTTTTCAGAATATCCCAGCTTTACCAAACAGAAGGCACACAACACTCCGTTTCCTTCATAGATTAAAGATGTATAGAATTAACTGATTTACAGGGTTGTGTAACAATTTTACCTCCGTACAATACGACAAAGAACAGGAGGAGAAAAGAGATGCATTTTCCTACAACATTGTGCCATATACTGCTCCGTTTCTGGCCACGAGCTCTCCTCACAAAAGCAGAGTGAACGAGTCTTGCATAAAGGCCCCACAGAAGATTACATCTGGGAAATAAGCTAAAAAACGTAGCCTATGCTATGTTTGAGATGCAGCTTTCTCAGGATGACCTTGGAAGCCCAGAAATACATCAATTTCATTTTGATTAAGAGAACGATTTGGCAACAGCCCGGGCTCCCCGCGAGAGGAGGGCAGGTCACGTCGGGCAGGGTGACTTCTCTCTCCAGATGAGCAGGCCAGGCGCCGTCTGCCCGACCGCGCCGAGCTCCCAGCCGAGGCCTACTTGCACGGCCGCCCGGTGATCCCACTCAGCCGCCGGCGTGTGCAGGATCCTCACGGCGACAGCAGCAACGCACTGACACGTACCAGGAAAACAGCCCGGTGCCCGGGGAAAGCCTCAGCCCTAGGAAGCGGCGCTTGGCCCCAGCTAACACTCGATGACTTCACGGGCGCTCGCCAAGGCCACCG